TTAGGGTTAGGGGAAGGAGTGGGGGAGGTTAGAATTGAAAAGACAAACAACAAACAACAACAAACAAAGGTCAACAAAGAAAGACAGGGGAAAAGGCAGACACTAGGATCAGAGCAGAGGGGGAGAAAAGGAAAGGGGCAGGGAAGTAAGCCAATCAGAGGTAGGCATAGGGCGGGACTTGGCGTGGCCATAGTAGGATTCGTAAAATCGCGTCCTGAACTACTGTAGGTTAGAAGGCCACAGTTTGCGGTGCTGTCCGTGGGGCTGAACAGGCAGCTGATGGTGCAGCAGCCATTAGTGGTGGGACAACAGTCAGGGCTCTGACTCCATTTGCCCATTCTCCAACCACATAAGTGCAGAACAGTCTTTTACACATGGTTGTTGGTATTCACACACACACACACACACACATTAACTGTAGTCATCCTTTTAAACCACTCAGCACAGTGGGTAGCAGCAGAGGGAATTATCTGTTTATAATTTCACAATACTTCAATAAAATTGAAATAATCTGATACAGTAGCGTGAAGCCTTTTGTTTGAGGATCAGTTTAAACAACCAGTCTGCACTGAACTTAATATATAACTTACAAAGGAAAACCGAGAGAAGATTATACCTTTTCTGTATTTGGGTTGAGTATGAGGTGAGAACGCGGTCTTTGTATAGACAGTTAGGTTTAACTTTGACATGGCGATGCTGTTGCAAGACTGCATGTTGCAGAACCAATTACTGTATATATTAATTTCTATATATTTTAGGTACATCTTATTAATGTAAAGGGACATATGATTCATCTGTTTGTCTGTGAATTTACTGGTGCTCTCATTGAAGACCGCAGATGTTGTCAGTGTCTTTTCCATTGTGTTCCAAGTGGAACAAAGTGTTTCCACCATAATGTCTGATTAATGACAATCCCCCTGGGAGTTGAGGGAGAACAGTAGCAATCCTCTACCCCCAAGAATCTCATTTAGAGTCAGCGGTAGCCATCATAGAAATCTCTGTACCCATGATTTCATCCTTCATCTGTTCTCCATTATAACTGCAGCAGCTACTGGTTTATTCCTACTTGAATAATATATTACAGTATTTACTATAACCAGTATGACCGAAACCCTGTGTTCCTAAATCCAAGATCCTTTCTCTGTAATTTTCTGTTGGCTTGCAGGAGGCAAGATTTGAATGTCGCAATTAATTCCCATTAACGGTCCTTTTATTCTTAAGTGGCACATCCACAATTCAAAAGCATCAACACTTCCTTAAATACATTTGAAGGTCTGCATCACTGCAAAATACAGCATGTTCAAGAATTAAAGCTTTTACTGCTAAAAACAGCTAAATGGACAAAAGTAAATTTAGATTTGATTAAACAAAGCTGTGGTGTGCTTTGTAATGTGGAGAGGGAATTATTCTAAGATTCTTCCCATTCCCAATTTGGATCAGTGTGAATACATGTCAGTAGATCCAAGTAAGTACGTCAAATTAAATCATTTTCAATGATGTTCCGCTCAACTCCTCATCATCAGGTAATCAGAACCCAGTGGAAAATACTTGCAACAAAATAAACATGTCAGATACTTACTTTTATCTTGTTGTTCCGAATCAGAGTAACTTCCTGTTCTGCTTTGGACTAAAGCAAACAGAGCTCATGTGACAGAAAACATGATGCTGCAGTTTTTTCACAGACTGGCTGATGCAGTGACGCACAGTATTACAATAACCAGAGGCATTGTCTAAATCTAATATGTCACAATTGTGTTATTTATGGTACAACTGGACTCCTTCCGCCTAACACGGCCTGAACACAAAACTGCCATAGAAAGATTGTCGTAACTTCAGTTATGCTCCACCCAAAATGTATCTCTTCAGTACCAAACACTCAGGTGGCTCTAGAAAGTTTGAACAGCAGAGGCTGTAAAAGCTTTATTTCGCAGCTCTTCAAGAGGAAAAGGGAAAACATTTAGAGATTTCTCAAATCGTTCCTGCAGCTTCTCCACAATATTTGCACACAACCGTTTCAATCTCACGAGCAGGTGCTGGTGCTGCTGCTCTCCTATCTGTTGCCTGGAGAACTCTGTGTTCAGCTTTGTCGTCTGATCAAAGTAGACCCCAATCAACATTTGTTGAGGATTCAGCTTCTCGTTGTGGGCTTTGCTTTAGTGCCAACTTTGCTTTTGCTTGTTTTTTTCTCTCAAAGGCAACTTGATACACAAGCTGATAGAGTAAGTGCTAACTTGTGTGTTCTAAAACGCTTGTTAAATGTTAACTGAGGAAAAATGTTTATGCAAAGCTAACCATCTCCTGGCCGTTTTATATGTAGTGTGAGGGATGTGCAAGTGGTACCAGTTTTCTTATCCAACTCTTGGCAAGAAAGCAAATAAGTTTGGGAAATACTCCTAATGCAGACACTTAAATGGATGCACAGTAGATTGTAGGGCTCAGTGAGCGGCTGGCCACTGTGAGCAGAGCTTATTTAGGGCCATCCGCTAAATTAGTGGGTTTCAGGAGAGAATGATAATAATGGTGGTGATGGAGGGGAAAGTGCACACATCAGTTTGTGTGTGTGTGTGTGTGTGTGTGTGTGTGGGGGGGGGATAGATGAAGAGAAAAGATAGAAGAGAAGGGATAAAAGAAGTTGTCAAAGTGAATTAGTCATTAGTGGTGTTGAGGTCTCTCCCTCTAGCCTGTCCACTCTTTCTGCACGCACATATGGATCTCAAATTTCACAACCACGAACAGATTCACACATACACACACACACA